GGCCTGTTCAGCTTAAGGTTCGTGCAGCTGCCCTGTCACTCAGGCAACTTGTTTATCGTAGTCATCAGCGGCTTCCAGTGGATGTGCCTTTCGGACCTCGGCCCCGACCCCCTGTGTGGCAAGGTGCTCTTGCTCATGCTGCACGGGCCGCGGCGTGGGCAACGCACGAGACGGCCTCTGCAGCCTGGCGCATTTTGAACAATGTCTGGGCTCAGTTTGTGGATGTCGCAGAACTGGAGCTCACCCGCACTTTGGGGATCGAGCCGACCGAGTTAGGTGAGAGATCGAGAACGATAAAAGCGTCGTGGGTTTCGATTTTCTACCGCCCGAGGGGCCCTGAGGATAAGCTCCAGGTCGTCGCAGGTTGGAAGTGGATGTACCAGTCTTTTTGGGAATTTATCCTTACGGTGCAAGATGCGAGCGAGGTGAACTCGCCGACTTGCATCCAGCTCCAGGTGTCACTCCAGGACTCCTGTCCCGGGGAAGGCCTTTCGGTGCGCCTCGACGCCTCTTTGCGTGCGATGCGCGCGCTGGCGAGGAGTTGGCAACGCCAGAGTGGCTTCCGTCAGCAGGAGTGGCTAGAGCAAGCTAACCAGTTTTTGGGTGACGTTCGCGAGGGTTACGAGCAAGCAGGTTCTGATGGGGAGAGGATTCAGCAGGAGTCTTGGGACCTCTGGCAGGAGCGGGCCCTTGCAGGCTCTGCTAAAAACATGCATCGTTGCAATAAGCTGAAAAAGGTTTGGCAGCCGACGGCTATTCAGAGTTCGCCTGGAGTTTTTACTGCTGATCCACATGCTCTTCTCGAGGCTGAAACTCGGACGCCGGGAAAGTTCTGGGGAGCTCGCCCGGGCCCGCCCGAAGCAGGGATTCCTGGCCGTACCTGTTTCCCCAGGGCCAGCGTGGTGGACCTTCGAAACGCATCCTTGAGTTTCAGCCGCCACACCGCTCAGAGTCTACATGGATTTCACCCTCGGCATGTTGGCGTGCTCTCCGACGAGGGCCTCTCGTGTTTGGCCGTGCTCTACGAGTCCGTGGAGCGGCTCGGCCTTTTCCCCGCGCAGTTGCTGTGGATGCTTATGCCGCTACTTGAGAAGCCCAAGGGAGGTCTCAGGCCTATCCTACTCCTGGGTTCTTTCGTTCGGGTCTGGGAGCGACTTCGTAGACCGCAGGCGGACGATTTCCTGGAACGGGCCCAGCGGCCCTACTGGTCTTTCGGAGCGGGTCATCCTGCCGAGGTTTCGAGTTGGCAGCAAAGTGTTCGAGCTGAGGAGACCTCCGAGAAGGGCGAGCACGCGGTAGGTTCCATCTGGGACGGTATGAAATACTATGAGTCGTTTAGGCCCCAGTGGCTTCGGGATCGGGCACTCTACTGGCGTATCCCCACTGTCCTCATTAAGGTCCTGTATAACCTTTGGAGGTCCCCGAGGGTACTCCGATTGGGAGCTCACCACTGTCCACTTATACAGTTTGCGGAACATGGTTTGCCAGCGGAGGGTATATTCGACGACGTGCTTGTGAAGGTTTATGCGATGTTCGAGTTTGACCTGTGGTCCAACAGAAATGAAGGGGCCCCAGGACACACACATAAATACACACAAATAAAATGATGCCCCATATTTTCCTATATTTTCTGGGTTTCTGTCTTCCCCCCCACTTCCCATATTTTCGCATATTTTCTGGGAATCGACGATTAATTGTGTCTGTGTGTTTTTTCCCCTCCTGAAGAAACCCTGGGGTGAGCTTGGGATCCCACGTTGATGACGACACGGTCTCGGCCCGCGGGCCCGACCACGTCCTTCTGCGCGATGTGGCCAGGGCAGCCAAGGATTTGAAGCGGATAACTTCCAGAAGCGTTTCGGCGCACGGCCTGCTGCAGACAAGGCCGTATCGTTTTCTTCGTCCAGCTGGATGTCTGCGAAACTGTGCAGGCGGCTTCAGCCGATGTGTCCGTCTTCCGCCATGAACTCCACGGTGTCACTGGGCGTGGACCCAGCACCTGGTCAGGGGTTTATCGGCGAAGCAGGCGAGAGCTCGGCGACGGCAGCGTTTTCATGATATGCGTGTGCGCAGCCGACTGCCCCAGAGACCGCACGCGTATAAACAAGATATATGTAGCAGGAGTACGACCAGCAGCAGGGTTTGGGAGCATGGTCCTCGGAGTAGCGCTCATGTCTGGAAAGGCTCCAGCACACCGAGGAGCCAATTTAACTGCGAAGTGCGTCCTCCATGGAGACCCCGCGTGACGGCAAGCGGTAGCCCCAGCACTACAATGGTCCAACAACCTCTGGCAGAGCCTCACGGAGCCCAAGGTCAGTCAAGTCTCGCTTCGGGAGCACATTCGGATTTGGCGTACCATATCGAGTTCGTCTCCTGAGCTTGGCCCCACCTGTTGGCGTAAGTCCAAATGCCCAGTACATAGAATGCCCCTCTCCCTCCATAGGATCGGGTGGCGTGCAGATAACTTTGCCCTGTGGCGAGATGACCGCGATCGCGTGGTTGACCTCCTGTATACCTCCCCCGCCCTCGTTGCTAAGCAGTTCAAGGCTTGCGTCCAGAGAGCCCTGGAGCGCAACATGGCCAGCAGCCTGGACGATTTCAATGCTGTGAGGGTCTGCCCAGGCCCAGTTGCAAAAGTGTTTCGTGCGCGCAAGCACACGGCCAACCAAAACTATTGGATGCCAGCAGTTGTTTGTTTTTCAGGAGCTTGCTGGACGGGAGGTCGGATGCGTGAGTGTGGGTACGAGCACGGGGGGGTGTCCGTTGTGTGGAGAACCCGATTCCTTGCTCCACAGGCAGTGGCTTTGCGCGTGTGTCGCTGAGCAGCGCCTGGAATATGTAAGCCAAGAGCTGATTGATCAAGTGGAAGCCTCCTCTCCCCAGGAACGTTTGTTCTGGTCGAGGCTCATAGTGCCTCAGCCCGTGGTCCCTGGTCCGTCCTGGAACCTCGACCCGATGTTTCAGGACTCCGAGGGCCAGGGCATCCGTTTCGAAGAGTTGTCTGAGCTGTCCCGCGGGTGTGAGCCTGTGGTAGACGGATCGGCCACTCAGCAGGCGTTTAAGGAGCTCCAGCGCGCTGCGTTCGGGGCTGTGTGTTTGGCACCTGGTCCAGAGTACAAGATCCAGGCTCGTACGGTTGGCACAGTTCGACCCACGCTCTTTCAGACTCCGCAGCCAGCGGAGCACCTCGGGATGGCCACCCTGCGCAGCGTTGTAGAAGATACCGCTGCTTCCCCTCACAGTGACTGCGCTGGCGCTGTCACCTTACATAACGCCAGTCGGCGTGAGCAGTTGAATCCCAAACAGATGGTTGCAGGCCTTCGGAGGCTTTCTCTGGAGAAGGACCCCGAGGGCCTGGCAGGACGCGCTGCCTACACCCCTGCCCACGGGTCCGAGGATGTGGTTTTGGCCCTGCCGATTTTGGAGCGTCGCATTGCACTGGGAAATGCTGATGCTGATAGGCTAGCCAAACATGCCATTACCCTCCACCCAGGGGCCCCGACCGAAGTCCTCGAGGCCCTGGATGTGTGTGTGAAGCGTGTAAAGGATTTAGTAAACATGTTTGATGCCGTACTCTCCTGCTACCCCAAGATGGAGTTCCGTCGCGTGCCGAGAGGCCTTCGGACCGCCGCTTTCAGAGATCCGAGCTGGCATGACTGGCACGAGATTGACCCTGGGGTGGCTTGGAGGTGCGCGCAGTGTTGTTCGATCTCTTTCGACAAGGAGAGATCAATGGTAGGATGTAAGGGAGTCCCCACGGCGCTTGGTAATCTCAAGGATGCTGAGCTGCGGGGACACCTACTCGCGTGTGCTATGATTGACAATGAGGACCAAGAGCCATTAGTGTGTTGCTTTAGGTGTGGTGCCTATGCTTCGAAGAGGTGCGTTTTGCTGGCCGGGCGTTGTTGTGGGAAACGGGGCAGGAGCGGTGCTCAGACCCTGTTCCGTGTTAAGCAGGGGCTCCATCCGCACTATTACAATGATAATCGTGTAACGGAACCCTGTCGCCGCTCGGCAGATTTTATTCTTGAGGCAGCGACCGCACAGAGCGGTAGGCCGACTGCCTCCCGCTTGCGCCTCGTGTCGAGCCCTGGCATGGAGGCACTTGCGGCCCGCGTCCGAGCGCGGGAAGAAGCCGCAGCCGCCGCCCGTCGATCGGGTTAAGGCGGGCTTGCTCTGTTCTGCCTCGTGGGCCTCCGAGGGAATCCTCCTCCTCCTCCTCCTCCTCCTCCTCCTCCTCCTCCTCCCTCTCCTACCTATGGTAGCGGTGGTGGAAAATGGGCCCATCGTTTCTTGATTGCCGTCGGGGAGGCGTCACCCCCGCCGACAACCCCACATCGACCCCCGTCGCGGGCAGCCACCGCGCGCCGAAGGCGCCCCGACCCCCGTCGCGGCGCGACGGCAAGGCAAGGCTGACCCCCGTCGGGGGGTACCCCCCCCCCACGCATATCAAAGAAACCCAAAGTCACCACACCGCCCTTCGGTGGCAACCCCTGGGAGCCTCCCGTACCATCCCGTCGGCTCTCGCGACTCGACGCTGCCCGACGCTGCATCGACGCTAGAGATCGACGCCGCCTCGTCGCGAATCGACGCTCGCCGACGCCGCTGCATCGGAACGATGCCTCGTCGACCCCCCGGTCTCGACGCCCATCGACGCCGCAGGCGGAGCCGAGAGCGCAGACGCCGGGCTCTCCCACGATCTGCTACAGTCGGGGCGCTGCCCTAAGGAACCCTAAATGAGGAACGAGGTCCCTTTCTCCCAAAAGTTGAGCTTCGATCTCCTATGGAAAACCTTAGGGGAACCTGAGGCAAATGGCACAACAGTCCAGGAACACCGAGCCCCTCCCCAACGAAAAGGGTTCCTTCTTCAGGGCCCCGACTGTACCGAGAGCTGCCCCTGCTCGCTGCGCGCGTGGCCGCTTGGCGGTCGCCGGAGAGCCCGCTCGCCCGCATGGCCTTGGCCACGGGCGCCCCGCCTGTGCTTGCGGGGGACGCGCCCGGGCCCGGCTTCGCGAAGTAGTCCACGAAGCCCTGGGCAGGCAGAGCTCTCAACGAGGGCAGGGGGCGCGAAAGCTACAGCCAGAGCCCACTGACCCCCAGGCAGCATTTTCTGTTGAGCCAGGGTGGCGCCTCAGAGTGTTCGCGCGCCCTGCAGCTCCGGATCCGCCTGCGCCTTCGGCGTCGTCGTCGAACTGTCCGTCGATCGTCGTCGTCCTCCCAGGCCAGAGCTCTCAAGGAAGGCGTCAGACGCGAAAAGACATATCCACAGCGACGGGCCTGAAAACGCTGGGCAACAACGCAGTGAAGCGCGCAAAACAAAAGCGAAGCGTTTTTTTTGAAACGTGTTTAGCTTGTCGATGGCCCAAAATTCAAAACAGCCCCCCAAAAAACGCCGAGGACGTTTTTAAGAAGAACCAAGGAGCTGGGTGGCAACCCACTGCAGGGAAACATGTTGTCTTCAATTAAAGCAGAAACATGCAAAACACAAATGCCTTCAGTTACACAAGCACTACCATCAAAAATGTCGGCCTTCAACAAACGTTTGCCTGCAGTGATTCTGCTGTGCCTTGAGACATGTTTTCCTTCCGGGAGCCTCCCATACTCTCTTGCTGGCTCTTGTGAACCAGCGCTGGCCGACGCTGAGTCGACGCCAATCTACTCTAAATCTGAGCTTTCTCATCGCTGAATAAAAACGCTAGCGCACGCAACTTCCCCAAACAATGCTTGCACTTAGGGGTTCCTACTTGTGGAATAAGCATCTGGGCCAGGGCCCCCTCCCCCTCCCCCTCCCCCTCCCCCTCCCACCCCCCTCCCCCTCCCCCTCCCCTCCCCTCCTCCTCCTCCTCCTCCTCCTCCTCCTCCTCCTCCTCCTCCTCCTCCTCCTCCTCCTCCTCCTCCTCCTCCTCCTCCTCGGTCTGGCGGCATGCTGTGGCCGTCGCCGCCCCGTCGACGCGACGTCGCCGCCCGTCATCTGGGCCCGGGCGTCGGTCCGGCGGCTATGCTGTCGCCGTCGCCGCCCCGTCGCCGCCTCGGCACCGCCCGTCGTCTACAACCCCGTGCGAAAAGCAACAGGGGTTTTCGTGCACACCTCCCCCCCCCCCCCACCCCCCAATTTCAATGTTCAACGCGGGGTCGATTTTTTTTTCGAACTTCGCCGGTCGCACGATGAACATTGAAATTCGGGGGCCGGGGGGCTCACCAAACCCCAGTTGCTTTTCGCACGGGGTTGTAGGCCTAAACTGCTTGGCATTACGCTGCATTGCATTGCTATGCCGTGCTTGAGATTGCATCGCATTGCTTTGAATGGAACCGCGTTGCTCCAAATTGCTTCACATTGCCCTGCATTGCGGTACACTGCTTGCATTAATCTGCATCGCGCTGTTTTGTTTCGTCTTGCTTTGCGTTGCTATGCCGCGAGTTGCATGGCTGTGAGTTGGTTCGCGTTGCCTCGCACTACCTTGCATTGCATTGCATCGCTTTGCGCTACATGCATTGCACTACCGAAGCTGCAACACATGGATTCCTTTCTAAAAACAGAATAGGATCTCCCCCCCCCCACCCGGCGTTATCGGTCCCCCTTTTCGGGAACGTAAAGCATGTATGATTCCGACCACATGTCCGTCCTAAATATGAAATCACAATGTCCCAGGCCAACCGGGTTCCGACCCCTGAGGGTCCATTGTAAAAACACTATGCGGTGACATTGTTTGTTCTAACATATCACTTTTTCACGAATCCCTGGCAACAAATGAGACGAAGTGCACACGCGCGCGTCGTCGCGCGCGCATGCCGAATTCCTTCAAAACCTTCGGTGCCGGAAGGATTTCGCAATCGAGTTTCCCAAAAAACACACACACACACACACACACACACACACACACAAAAACAGAGGGTTTCGCAACACTGATTTGCTAAAACAACTTCTGCGCGAGCTCTTGCGAAATCTTAAGAAAACCATAGGTTTTTCAAGATATTCACAAAATGCTAGTAAACGGGCTTCGCGCGCGCGCATGTCGAAATCTGTCGAACGCCCTTGCGCGTGTGCCGTCGCGAGAATCCTCTGCAAAAAAAGGGACGAAGTGCAGACGCGCGCGTCGTCGCGCGCGTAAGCCGAAAACCTTCAAAACCCATCGGTTTCGGACGGATTTCAAAATCGTGTGTCCAAAAAACCTACAAAAGCCCAGGGTTTCGCAACACGGATTTTCAACAAAAGCGTGCGCGGCGCTCTTGCGTCGTCGTCGTCGTCGTCGTCGTCGCCGTCCTCCCTCCTCCCGCGTCGTCGTCGTCGTCGTCGCCTACGTCGTCCTCTGTCTTTCCTCGTGTTCGTCGTCGTCGTCCTCTTTGGCGTCGTGGACGTTTCCGTCGTCGTTGTCGCCGTGGTCGCCCTTCCTCCTCCTCCCTCGTCGTCGTCGTCGTCCGTCGTCAGCGTCTCGTCGTCGTCGTCCCGCCTATTTCGTCGCCGTCATCGTCGTCGTTGTCGTCGTCGTCTCTCCTTCCTCGTCGTTGTCGTCATCGGCGTCGCCGTCCTTCCTCCTTCTTCGTCGTTCGCGTCGTCGCCGTTCTCCCTCCTCCCTCGTCGTTGTCGTCGTTGTCGTCGTTGTCGCCGTCGTCGTCCTTCCTCCTCCCTCGTCGTCGTCTTCGTTGGCGTCGTCGTCGTCTTCGTCGTCGTCGGCGTCGGCGTCGTTGTCGTCGTCGAAGTCGTCGGAGACGTCGTCGGTGTCGTCGTAGTCGATGTCGTCGGTGTCGTCGCAGTCGGTCTTAAGAGGTTTTGCAAACCAAGTTACGGGTGGGTGGGTGGGATGTTTGCAAGAGCTTGGGATGTGTCACACCATGGGTAAAAATCAATTGCGCCACATAGACTGCACCACATAGGTTGCAAACAATATATTTCACAATATCGGTTGCACCACACCGTTTGCACCACCTGTATGTCGAAAAATACATTGCTCCACGTAGACTGCACTGCCCATCAGCAATGAGCCCCACAAAACATGCACCAGAAAGGTTGCACCGGAACGTTTGCATGACATAACTTGCACACGATATGTTCCACAATATGTAGTACACAACATAGGTTGCACAACCGATATTGCATCCCATGCATTGCACCAAGTACATAGCTCCACATACACTGGACACTTGCCCAATGAGGTACCGAACCATTTCTAAACATGCGACAACTATACCACACACACACAGCCTAACAAAAACGAACTTGCTGAACGACCCGCAACGCGCCATTCGCAGCCCCCAGGAGCCGCAAGGTCTCGACAGCGTCCGCTTGACACCCCTCTCCGCTGGGCCTCCCAGGAGCCCACGACGAGTGGCGACCGTTGCGCAATTCGCAGCCCCCAGGAGGCCGCGAGGTCTCAGCAAGGTCCGCGCGACACCCCGCTCCGCTGGGTCTCCCAGGAGCTAACGAAAGCGGCGGGCGACAGTGGCGCAGCTCGCAGCCGCCCCCCAGAAAGCAATGAGGTATCAGCGCGGGCCGTTTACAACGCCACTCCGCTGGACCTCCCAAGCGCCCGCGAAAATGGCAACAATTGCGCTGTTCGCATTCCCCCCCCCTAGGAGCCTCGAGGACCCAACGCGGCCCGTTTACCACTTCACTCCGGTGGACTGGACCTCCCAGGAGCCCACGAGCACGGAGACACTTGCGCAACTCGCAGCCCCTCCAAAGACCCGCGACGTCCCAACGCGATCCGTTTACAACTCCACTCCGCTGGACCCCCCGGGAGCCCACGAAAATTGCGCAAATTGCTCCGTTCGCAACCATCCCCCCCCCACCCCCAAGGACCCGCGAGGTCTTGACACGATCTGTTCACAACTCCACTCCGCTGGCCCTCCCAAGAGCCCACGAAAGTGGCGTCAACAGCGCGATTCGCAGCCCCCCAGCAGACCTCCGAGGTCTCAACGCGATCAGTGTACAGCTACACTCCGCTGGAGCTCCCAAGAGCCCACGAACGTGGCGACAATTCCGCAATTCGCAGCCCTCCTCAGGGACACGCGAGGTCTTGACACGATATGTTTACAACTCCCCTCCACTAGACCTCCCAGGAGCCCACGAAAAAGGCCAGCGTCAATTGCGCAGCTCGCAGCCCCTCCCCCCCAGAAATCAACGAGGTATCAACGCGGGTCGCTTACACCACCACCACTCCGCCGGACCTCCTAAGAGCCCACCAAAGTGGTGACAATTGCGCTGGTCGCACTCCCCCCCCCCAGGGAGCCGCGAGGTGGAAGACGAGGAGGAAAGCAGAAAGCGAGACGCAGGAGGACGACGCGGAGGAGGAAGGAGGGAGGACGAGGAGGAGGAGGAGGACGAGGCGGCAACAATGCTCTATTCAAAACGAGAACTCAACCCAGAGGGGTAGGAACAAAGCAAGAGGAAGGATGGGGAGAAAGAGGCATGAGGAGGAGGAGAGGACGAGTTGGATTGGAGACCACAGTGCTCTATTCAAAGCGGGGACAAAGACTGTACCACACACGTTCTCCTAAAGAGAATGCAAGCTTCCCCCCCTCGGTTTTATCGGTTCCCTCTGTGAGAACGCAATGCACGTATGATCCCAACTCATCGTTCATTTTACAAATAAATTCAGGTCATCCCAGGGAGTACCCTTATCGCCCCCCTTCACCCCTGTCAAATTATATTATGCGCGCGCACCCGTTTAGCAAACAAAATGGTTTAGCAAACACCTATTGCAACACATTGGCAGAGTCCACACGCGCGCGTCGTCGCGGGCGCGCGTCTACATCAATCCAAAACCTTAGGTGCTGTGAATATTTCAAGATCGAGGTGCCCGAAACGTGCAAAGTCGATCACTACATTTTCAACAACACACTAAAAAGATATCTGCGCGCGCGCTCTTGCAAATTCTTGCGAAGACCATCTGTTATTCAACATTCCCATCGCATAAAACCACGCAGTCGTTTCGCGCGCGCATGTCAAAATCATTCGAACGTCCTTGCGCGCTTGCTGGGGGGACACGGTCCCAATAAAATAAAACCGTGCAGGCCAGTCGCGCGCATGTCCAAATCCGTCCAAAACCTTCATCAACGACACATGGACGTACTCATCGTCACCCGCGTGAAAAGCAACGGCGCCGTCATTGGCCTTGCCGTCACCATCGTCACGACCGTCATCATTGTCGCTACTATCATCCCCGTTTCCGCCGTTGTCGAAGTCATTCTGATGCGTCGCCCGCCCGAGTCACCGACCCACACTCAGGTGTCCGCGCGCCAGCGCGCCCTGTGAGACGCGCTGGGAGGTCCCTACGGGTCAGCAACACCGCGGCCGCGTCGGTTGTGCCAAACTATCCAGTCGCTCTGCGCGTGAGCTTGCGCGCGCTGGCCCGGCCGCAGGGATTTGCCCATCAGTGCCAAGCAATCATCCCAATCGCCGCGTCGTGGATTTTGCAAACCAAGTTGTTGCAGGCAGGGAGAGGCGATGGCGCGAGCAGCGGAATCGACCACCTCAAGTCCTGCAGGGTGGCTCGCACCACATCGACTGCACCAATGGGGTCCACGCTGGCTGACACACACTTTGGAAGACGATCGGGGATGGACAGACCTCCCTTTAGTAAAACGTGGTTTAGTGAAAACGACCTGAGACCTAAATCTGGAGGGCGCAAACCTGGAAAATAACGGCCACGGCGCCCTCTCGAGAACCGAAAACGGACAATTCACCAATCGACGTGTCACTGTTGGGGGTTCTGTCCAGCCCCGAGACGAACTTGCGAGGACATGCAAGGCGATCGAAAGCTCAGCATCGGCTCGCTCGATCGGATCGGATCGCGAGCTCGGAGCGGATCGCCGGCGACTCGCCCCGAGCCCAGTCGAGCTCGGCTCGCCGCGCCCCGGCTCCCGCGGGCCCCGGCCGCTGCCGGCGGATCGGGCCGAGCCGACTCCAATCGGAGTCGCGGCCCCAGCCAGCGAATCGAATCGCATCGAGTCGGATCGTACAGTCCGGGCGTTGACCTAAGGAACCCCAAAGAAGGAACGAGGCCTCTCTTTTCCATAAGTTCAACTTCGATTCCCCATCGAAAACATAAGGAAAACCTGGGGCAAGCTGCGAAACACTTCAGGAACGCGGAGCCCCTCCCCAACCAAAAGGGTTCCTTCTTCAGGGCCCCGACTGTAGGCGGCCCTGCCTGGGCGTTGATGGTGGCCGACATCAGCACCAGCTTGAGCGAGCCCCGGCGAGGCCCCACCACCAGGTCCCGCAAGATGAGCAGCGCGAAGTCGGTGTGCACGTCGCGCTCGTGGACCTCGTCGAGTATCACGACTCCCACTCCGTCCAGCGTGGGGTTGGAGGCCAGGTGGCGGAGCAGAATGCCCACCGTGCAATACAGCAGCGACGTCTCTGCACAGGCGCGGTGCTCGAAGCGGATTTGGTAGCCGACCGTCCGCCCAAGCTCGTCCCCCCTTTCCTGGGCAACGCGCTGCGCCACGGAGGTAGCGCTGATCCGGCGCGGCTGGGTGCAGAGAACGCGCGAGCTGTCCCCGCGCGCCGCCATGGCCTCCACCAGCAGCTGTGGCAACTGCGTGGTCTTCCCGCAGCCCGTCGCGCCGCAGATGACCAGCACGTCCGCAGCGTCCACCTTCTCGAGGACCACATCCGCGCGCTGGTATGCTGGCAATCGCTGCCGTGCAGGCAGCATGCGCTTGTACGCCTCAGTGTTCTTCTGGGCTAAGACCATCTGTGTGCGGCTCGAGCTGCTCTCCTCGTTGAAAACGCAAAACAACTCTTTTCCGCCCTTCTGGTCTGTGCGGTCGCGCCGAGGCACAACTCTCAGAGCGCGATCGATGCCCTGGATGGCTTGTTGCACCAGCGGTCCATGCTGTTGCGAGCTCAGGCGGATCGGCTTCGCGAACTCTTTCTGGGCGCCCATACCGCCGATAGGAGCGATCTGATACCAGTCCTGAGACACGCTGAAATACTGCTTCACCTCGTCCTCACAGTACTGCAGCTTTTTCGACGAGCAGTTGTTGACCCCCTTGGTGCCCAACCGCCGCCACAGTTCCGGCTCATCCTGTTTCGCGTGCCACAGCAGGTCCTGCGTGTTCATGGGCCCCCCGCCGCCGAGCCTCTGCAGCAGCGCCAGCAGGTCCGCGAAGGGGTTCCCGGCGTCGGGATCCAGCTTCTCTATCCGAAACTGGCCCCTGTCCTCCTTCGAGAACGCCAGACCGTACTGCAGGCAGTAGCGCTTGTATGTCTGCCGCTCGTGGCCCCACGCCTCGACAACCTCGGAGTAGCCGGGCGCGGCCGCGAGGATCCGCTCGCAGACCTGCCTCACCGCGTTCTGCACGTCGGGATCGCTCGAGGCCTGCGTGTGCTGCCTCCAGTCGTAGCCGCCCCCCTTGCCGCCGCCGTCCTGGCCAGCGCGATGCCATCGTCGTCGTCACCGTCGCAGGCAATGGGCGTTTTATTTTCTGATTCGGCGTTTCGACAATGGGCGGAACGGGGGGGGAGTGTCTGGCTCCGGACCTCTACTTAATGCCACTGCTTGCAGCAGTGCGCCCTATGGGGGAGACTCCACCTGCTCGAAACAGGCGCCAAAAAACAGCCAATATCAACTCCATGGGAGGGGGGGGAGGGGGGGTTAAGGGCCCGCGCCGATCGGCAAAACAATGAACTAGAAAACGACCACGAGCCGAGACCTCACACGTCACATGGTTCGTGCAGCGCGGGCTGCAGAGCTCTCGAACCCTTTGACGGGCCCCCACATGGCCCCAAGCTCGGACAAACCAGCCGTCGCGAGATCGCCAAGACGACGGAGGCCCGTGCTCGGGACGACCCTGGGCTCCCCTGAAGGCCCTCGACGAGGCGCAGCTCATCGAAAAGATCCTGGGGCCCCCAAACTGCCATGGATCATGAAATACGTCCCCTCCCAGTCCCTTGAGGAGGCGCGGAGGATGCTCGTCCCCAGACCTCTGGCGGATTGTCTTCTCAATCCGTGGGTCACAGAGCTGTCGGCACTGTTCCTCAAGGGCAGCGCTTCGTCCCAGATCGCCTTTTGCATCACGATGACGCCGAATCAAGCAGTCACCATCCAACACCGTTGTGCCACACACACAAACCAGCACAACAAAAAACACGGGATTACAACACCGAATCCGCCAGAAGCCTGGAGAAGGGAGAGTCCTCCCCCAAACATCTGATCCGAAACCTCTCCTGGGAGTGCATTCGGATCAACATTTCGAGGCGGACGCGCTGGGGCAATCAGAATTTCCAGGGTCGGGGAAAAAAGGTAGCGTTTTCTTCGCCGGCGTTTCGACATTGCGCGGGAAGGGAGGGGAGGGGGGCAGGGGTCTGGCTCCAGACCTCTGCTAACTGCGACTGCCTGTAAGAAGAACCCGTAGCGCAGACCACGCGTAACGCAGACCTCCTCCTCCTCCTCCTCCTCCTCCTCCTCCTCCTCCTCCTCCTCCTCCTCCTCCTCCTCCTCCTCCTCCTCCTCCCCTCCTACTCCTCATACTGGGCCTCCTCCTCCTCCTCCTCCTCCTCCTCCTCCTCTTCCTCCTCCACCAGTTCTCCTCATACGTCCGCCACCATACCCTTCGGCACGGAGTGGGCGTGCCTCCAGGTGAAGCTTGCAAAGAGGCAGGCGTGCTGGTGGCCTTGCCTCTGCCGACGCGCCAGTGGCGCGAAGCCCCCCAAGCAATTCAAGAAGCAAGCCGGAAGAAGCAGGTCAGGCGACAGGCGGCCGCCGGCCAAGTCCAGCCCGCCGCCGAGGAGCGGGGCAGAGGGAAGAGGGAGGGGAGGGGCCGCCCGGCCGCCTGTGCCACCCCCGCCTGTGCAGCAGCAGCCTACACCCTGCGAAATGCTTAAGAAATCATGGGTTAAGAAATTCATAGTCTCAGAACTTGAATAAAACCCAGAACTTCTATCAAAATCTTGGGATTTACATTGAAAAAGTCAAGAATAATCGAGACTCTGGCCGAAAATTCAAGTTTTCTTAAGCATCGCCTAAGGTGTAATCCTCTGAGCATCAGCCCTCGCGGTCCTGGGGGTTCTCCAGGGGCCCGGGCCCCAGATGCTCAACTCTCTCAGGGCTTGCCGCGTGCCCCCCGGGGCTCTCCCGCGTCTCCCCGCGTGACCTTCTTGGGCCCAGGGCGGGCCAAGAGAGCCCCCCGGAGACTCCCAAGATAGTCCCGGAGGGTTTCGGGACGCCTCAAGATCGCTTCCAAACCGCCCAAGACGGCCCCAGGACGGTCCACGAGGCCTCCAAGACGCCCCAAGAGGCGTCCAAGAGTCTTCCGAGGAAAGCCCCCAAAGAACAGCACCATTGATTTTCCAATACGGTTTTGTAAGTTTTTGCTTCTCGCATTTTCGGCTTTCCGACGCCCGAAGACAGCCCCAGAGGCCCCCAAGATGGCCCCGAGACGGCCCGAAGACGGCTCCGAGACGGCCCAAGAGGGCCCCAAGACGGCCCAAGGCGCTCAAGACGGCCCAAGAGGGTCCCAAGACGGTCCCAAGGGGGGTCCAAGAGAGGGACTACCAGCGAGAATTCTAGCTTTCCGCCCTGAGAGGGCCCCAGGAGGCCCCCAAAAGAGCCCCAGGAGGCCCCAAGAGGGCCCCAGAGGCCCCAAGGGGGCCCTAAGATGCCCCGAGGGGCCCCAAAATGGCCCCCCAGATGCTTCAAGCCTGCCTCCAGGTCCAAGAGGCTCTCGGGAGCCCTCGCACGAGATCCCAACGAACGTCCACGAAGCCTCAGACCCACAGCCCAGGCACGGTGGCGGGACGGGCCGAAGGCCATTCGATATCTGCCGCCCCCTGTCGATTCATCGCAGGGGTACCTGGCGTGCCAGATGATTTCGGTTTTTGGTTTTGGTTCTTTTCCAAAAGAACTCTCCTGGGGCTCTGGCGCGTCCCGCTGGGGTCCCGGGAAGGATCTCAAAACGCATCCGTCGATGCCTTTGCTGCCCCAAGTTGGCCCAAGATGGCCTGCAAGACGGCCAAGATGGCCCAGGATGGCCTCCAAGTTCGCCCAAGGTGGTCCAAGATGGCCTCCAAGACGGCCCAGGAGGGTCCAAGATGCCTTCTAAATCGTCCCAAGAAGCCTCAAAACGTGTCCCACCCCCAAACGTGTCGGTAGGGCCGGCCAGGCGCTTCGCCTGAGACTCCTTCAAAGTTGATGATCCTGAAGCTTGCAATTCGCATCAGTCGCGCGGAGGGACGGCGGGTCGTTTTCAAAATGCGGCTCTCGCTGTAGCGCCGGGCATACTCGTTTAAATCTTGCAACGGCCTCACTGATGGAGGGCGGGTCGTTTTCAAAACGTGGCTATCGCCTGAGCGCCGCGCGCACTCGTCTTGAGCATGGGCACTAGCTTCAAGGATGGAGAGTACGTCATTTTCAAAATGAGGCTCTCGCTTTAGCGCCGCGCGCATTCATCTTAAACGTTTGCGACCGCTTGGCCGATTCGTATGGGTGAATTACAGGAACGGTGTTCTGGCACGAGTTAGGGTTACCAGGGCGCAGCAGTCACGTGTCACGAAGTCCCAGGCATGGTGTTCTGGCACGATTAGGATTGCCAGGACGTAGCTGACACGATGGCTCGCGGAGTTGAAGTCCCAGGGATGGTGTATTGGCACGAGTGGGGACTCTAAAACTGCTACCTTCTAATGCGCCAGTTCCCGTATTGAAAATGAAACTTGGAGGGACCTATGAGAAGGGGGAACTTGGAGAAAGGGTTTCATGTAAGATCGTGGATGCGGCTTGGATCTGCACTGGCCCGCCTCCTCTTCCTCCTCCTCCTCCTCCTCCTCCTCAAGATCCGCTTTGGCTCGAACGCGCTTTCTGCGCCTCCCTGCCAGCCCCGAGCTGCAGCAAAGCGTTCTCGTGGGAGCGCCGCGACAGGACCCAGCGCTCCCTTCCCCCAGGGCAGGCGAAATCTGGGGCCCAGCGAGACGGCAGCAGACCGGCACCATGCCCAGGGGTGCACCGCGGGCACGCCCTGCAGCGGCGCAGGACCAGCCGCCGCGCCCTGCCTCCTGCGCTGACGCTTGGACGAGGTGCAGGAGCCCCCGCCGCTGGGGCTGGAACAAGCCACGGAGCGCCATGGAGCCTTGTCAGGTCGGCAGTGCGAGTGCGGCGCGAGCCCGGAGCCCTTCCGCCGCCGCCGAGCCTCCCGCGAGCCAGGCCGCCAGCGCCGCAGCGGCGGCACAGGGCCCCAGGAGTTCTCGCAGGGGGGGGGTCGCCGAGTGCCCGCGGCGCGAGAGCGCTGGGCCGTCGCCGAAGCAGCTGGACGCCGCCATCGCTCGTCTGGAAGGCAAGGCGGAGGACCCCGCAGGCCAGGGCAGCCATCGCGCTGGTCCAGGACCTGGCCGCCCCGCCGCAGTGTCTGCGCATGCGAAATCCCCTGACGATGCCTTCAGGAAGGCTGCCGGCCACCTGATCGCCAGCACCAGGCTGTGACGGATCATGCTGGACCATGCTGCGATGCCACGCACGTGGCCACTCCGCCTCCCTCAGTGTCACCGCAGTCAACCTCCACAGACACACTCAGCGCGGCGGCGCCGCCGCCTGGCTTCGGGGATCTGCTGACCCAGGTCAATCCAGACCCAGGTCAGCTAGGCCTTGCAGGATCCTGCAGGATCCTGCACCCAGACCTGGGTCAATGCACCACTGGCTCTGCAGGATCCTGCTGGATCCTGCACTCGAGCCCAGGTCAGTGCGACCCTGGCCCTGCAGGATCCTGCAAGATCTGGCTGACCCCCGTTTGCATTGACCCCCGTCTCTTGAGCCCCGATGGCTGAGGAAACAGCTGGTCCTGGCACACGAGCGAAGTGGCCGAGACGGCCTTGGGCGCCTGCGAAGGCCGAGCTGGCCCAGAAGGCGGCGGCGGCAGCGGTGGCTCATGCGGCGCAGCTGGCCGCGCGCGGCGCTCGTGCTCCTGCGGGAAGGCGAGCCGCTCGTTCTTCGCACCTGGGACCAGCATCTGTTCGCCGAGGTCCAGGAGCTGGACGAGCATGAGGAGAAAGCAGGTGGTGACCCCAGACCCAGGGATCCGACGCTCCAAACAAAGTTTGAGCGGCGGGATTTGGGCAGCTTTCGACCTCCAGGGGCCCTCGCCGGGCCTCGGGAGCGTCAACAAACGATTCAGGACGAAAAACAGGCCCTGGGGAAGTGGTCCAGACTTCTGGGGCCCGCGCACCAAAAAAATTGGAACGGCCTGATGTCTGGGGAGCAGGAATCGAAGGAGGCCAAGTCTGATGGCCACCTGGGCCACGGAGAGCAAGGCCAAGCTGGCAGCCGCGGCGGCGCTTGCACAGCAGCAGGCCACTTGGGCCTTGAAGAAGTGCACGCCCAACAGCGGCTCCGCGAAGCCACAGTCGCGCCCTGCCGCAGCACCCCAGGTGGCCGAACCGCCC